ATCTTTTAGGTAAGACAGACGGCTTGTCTAAAAATCTGATATCACAGTTTTCAACATCACTACAAGATATTCAATCCAACGGCCACAAATGTGATGAATGAATGAATATGTTAAATTTTGACTGTCAAAACTGCTTTGTAGCTGAAACACAGTTTTCACCATATTCATTGTCTGTCTTTTCTCATTCAACACTTCTCCACCCATCCATCGTGGAACTTACTAAGTATTAATATATTGATGCTAGCTTCTCTACGACGTGTGATAGAGCAGTATCAGTTTGACCAATAAGACTTGCACTTGATTTTTATTGACTTGGAAAAAGTGTGACAGAATATCTAGAGATTTTGTAAAAAAACGAAAGAGGTTAGGATTGCATATATTTGAACTATTCAAAATATGTATGAAGGGGTATTGACTAGTGTGCGGACACAGGGTGGCGAGACGAGATATACTCGAGAGTCAGAACACGCCCAAAATTGTAGTGCTAACGATTTTTCAATTACAATAGGTTTGCATCAAGGTTCAGCTCTACGTCCTTACCTTTTTACTTTAATTTTAGATGTACTCAGAACACGCCCAAGAGTTAGCACTGAGTTGCATGTTTTTTGTGGAAGATATAGTCTTACTTGGAGAGTCGAAGGAGGATTTAAGTGAGAGATTGGAGACTTGAGACGAACTTTAGAAACACATTATTTTCGCCTAAGTAGAAGTAGAATAGAGTATATGGAATGTAAGTTCACCAAAAGGAGAAGCGTTTCTAACCTAGAGGTAAAAGTTGAAAAGTGCATCATCTCACAAGTCACGCGGTTTAAATATCTTGGGTCTCTAATACAAGACGATAGAAAAATAGTAGGGGATGTTAATCATCGAATTCAAGCGGGGTGGTTGAAATGGAGGAGGGTTTCATGGACATTATGTGACACAAAGGTATCGCTCAAGCTGAAGGAAAATTTTTATCGGACTGCGGGCAAATTCTCGATTTTGTACGGGACAAAATGTTGTGTGGTTAAGAATAACACGAGAACAAAATTAGTGTAGCAGAGATGAGGATGTGTTGTAAGATTAGACATGATAAGATTAGAAATGAAAATATTAGTGTTGGAGTGTAGCACCTATAGTAGAAAAGATGGTGGAAAATAGACGGAGGTGGTTAGACATATAGAAAGAAGACCTATAGATAATAGATTCTATGGTATGAAGAGTATATCAGATGGAGAGGAGTCAAACAGTTAGAGGTAGAGAAAAACCTAAAAAAACTATAAGAGAAGTTATTAAGAAAGATCTTGAGGTCAATTATTTGGATAGAAATATGGTTTTAGATAGAACATTATGGCAGAAATTGATCCATGTAACCGATCCCATTTAGTGGAATAAGACTTGGTTGTGGTTGTTGTATTGTTGAACATGATTAAATATTTAATAGTTTATATAGTTTGAAGTTGTTGTGATAATATTGTAAATTGATACTGGATTTCTATTTTGAACCTGGGATTTTTATGTTTTTGGTTGGGGGTGTTACGATTAGCTGTCTCCTTGTCATATTGGTGGTTTTCTTCACCCATCCATCATACATAGGTTTACGAAATATTAAAATATTGATGTTGGCTTTTTTGTATAACTACGGTAAAACATGATTAAATTTTTTATAGTTTATACAGCTGTTCGAAGTTGTTGTGGTAATACTGTCTAAATTGATATTGGATTTCTATGTTGAACCTGGGATTTTTATTTCTGTTTTTGGTCGAGGTGTTATGATTAACTGTCTCCTTGTCATATGGGTGGTTTTCTATGTCCCTTTTTCATTGAAAAATATTTGTCTCCCCTATGTTTTATATCTGGAAATTTAGATATATGTATAGTAACTCAATTGTTCTTAGATATTTGTTGCTTCCCCTGAGGTTACAGAGATTGATTTGAAATCTCAGAAAATACTCCTGCCTGAACATTTCCATATGCTATCATTTCTTTGTAATGAAGATCCATGGCTGACATTGCATATTATGATTCTAGGGTGTGTATATGCATTTCATTCTCGGTCAATTTCTTGATGGCATATCTTCCCTTTCTACCGAGAATACATGGTTGATAGAAACATATTTTCATTATCTTCCCTTTCTACCGAGAATCCATAGTTGATAGAAACATATTTTCATTATCTGCAATGTATGAAGCTACTTTTGACTAGATTATTTCTTGCTGCAATACTCTAGTTATTGTCTCAAAAGGATGAAAGTCATGAGTTTGTAAAAGAAGTAATTTTTTTCAAAGTCATTCTCCCTAAAATCATTAGTCTATTAAGGTCCATGACACTGTCTCTTGTACTGTTGGATATATACTAATGTGGCATGTGTTTATTGCTCACAAATGCCCTGTTTTATGTGAAAAGAAACCTGACACTCTCTTGGGTTTTGTTTGAGAGTTAGAAGGGAAAGCGGGAGGGGATAGGAGGGAAGAAAATGGAGTGCAGCCGTCCTGATTTGGGGAAGTTCTTTTGGAGGAGAGGGGAAGAGAAAGGCTATGAGTGCTATTGTGTTTATTCTGATGACTATTATACAGAGACCGAGACGAACGGATTTAGATATGTTTTTGAAACCCTCTAAATTACTCCCTCCAATTGATCTTTTCAGTTCCTCCAAATTAGTGGATTTGAAGGAATACTAACTCATAAAAAGTAGGGAGTGATCCTCCTTTCCTCCTCCCTTTCACCCCATAATCCTTCCCCCTATTTCCTTCATGAATCCCAAACGAAATTGTCCGGCTTATAGTTTATTTTCCCTATAAAATATGGGATATTGGAAGATAATTATTTTGAGAAAGCCTTTTGGCCTGTTTATTTCTGGCCAGTCTTCCACAATCTCATGGAGTTGTACCAGTGGCTAGAAAAACTCATCACAAATGGTGGATTTGTTTTTATTCATTTTTTCAGGAGTATCCTCCAAAGAGTGAATCATCCTAATCCCAAATGAACCGGCGATATGAGACTGAATGCACTCCATCAAAGCACATTAATGACAAACTTGCTGAGATTGAAGGTTAGTTTGACCTATGTTTAAGAAGTATTGCTTTTTCTTCTAGTTATGTGATGACCGTCGTTATTACGTGATTTTTATTAGCAAATTCGGATGAAAACATTGAAATAATGAGCAAAAGTCATGCCAAAGTGTGAAGAATGGAACGCAAACTACTAAGAGTAGAAAATATGGGACTAAGAAAAATTCTGAAAAAGAAATGACTGCCAATTTAGTTCTTGAAGTATGAAATAGTCGATAATCCCTCTACTACTGTGATTTGTGTTACAGCTTTTAAGTGCAATGTTGGATATCACTCTCTCCTACGTGAAATCAAGACAGACCCTCTCTTCCTACATGTCTGTTATCTACTCCCCAAACTTTAAAAGGAAAACATCAAATTAGTTCCTTATCAGATGCTCTCTTTCTACATTTTCTTAACCATATAACATCTCTAACATTAGATAGGAAACGATTCATTACAAACGATAGGATAAATCTGATGTGGGTTCTTGACTACAAACTGAAGAGTGATATTTGAAGTGCTGTTTGGTCCCTAGGAGCAATTGAGCAGAACTTGAGGGTGGATTGCAACCACATGTAGAAGCTGATCTTGTTGTTCCCAAGCTTCAAATTCAGATGAGATGCGATTGTTGTTCACTTTTCAATTGAAGTGAATTTCACTGGAATGTGAGGAGTTAGAATAAAATGATGGAGCTTGTGAGCTTTGATCACATGATCCACCTATTGACACCATAACAGGTAGTTTTCTGAATCAAGTTTCTCAGAAATTGCAAGAAATTGCAGGAAAGGCATAATTCACTTTGTGGAAGATGAGTTTATGCACTGAAGAGGAGATGGAGGGACTGAGGCCTCGGGACCTTGGCGTTTCTACTTATTCCATGTTTGAAAATTAATTCTCCGTTAATTTGTGCTGAGAAATCTTAACTCTGATTTCTTATAATTTGTATTTCGTATATTTTATATGTTTAGTATAATGAGTGTGAGTTCTATTTATAGGCTCACGGGGCTAACTAGTTTTGTTAGGTAGTTTCTAGAATGTAGGGATTAGTTCCTTGATTCTTACGAACAGTTGAAGTTAGTTATGATCAGAAAATCTACTGAGCAGTTACTGCACAGTAGTTACAGTAGGGTATACAATTACATGAGGACCTCTAAGCTCATCTGCTGTTTGGCACTAGGAGCTATTTTGGCACCTAGGATCAATTTGGCAAGATTTGAGGGTCCCTTTTTTGTTCGAGCTTGATAAACGTGTCATTCTCCAAAATGAACCCAGCTATTGCCTAAGCTGAGGGAAATCTTTTTTTTTTTACGAGGTTCCAGGTCTCCCTTCTATTTTACCTCTATTGGATGCCCATAAGCTCCAAAGAAAAACTAGTTGGACCCACTCACTTTTATCTTGACATGAACTAGATATATGGTTCATAGTAGTATATTCAAGTTCTCTATCGTCATAGAGCCAAACACTCTGGCATGCTCTTTTCCACTTCCAGTGCAGCCCCCAAACAAACCCTGAATTGGAACCACGTCTAATTTTGTTCTTTTCTGGAATGGAGCACTTTTCATCTTCTTCAAGTCTTCCTGAGTAGAAACTAAAGGCCTTTTTTTTTCTTTCCCAAATGGTGATCCGTCAAACTTCTACAATCCCAGCTGATGGTTTTCAGATCCTCTTTAAGTCTTCCTACATGGTTTCATGATTTTTTACTACCTTTGGTGTCCTACATGTATTTCTGTTATGCCTATTTTACAATTCCTGGTTCAATGCTTTTTGCTTGCTCAGATATGATTTGACAATTGATCAAATTTCTCTACACATTCTAAATACCAAATACCTGTCTAAAATTTGAAAACAAACATTTGTTTTTCATTATGCCCAGATAAAACAAGCTAACAGGGGACTACCTTATTTGGCATAACTTAAAAAACCTATAGCCAAAATTTACAACAATTACATAAAACCTATAGCCTAACTCATCGTACACCAAAATTTACATTTATATTACAAGTTACAGCAGCAGCTTCATCTCTGCAAGATGTTTTCAATTTACAAGTCTCGCTAGAAGAAGATACTGGGTATTTTTTGGTTTTCACACTGTAAGAGCTTACACATCTCCTACATTCAAATTTGGAAGGTGCAGGGCTACCAATTCCCGCACATCTGGTATGCTGCCAGACACCACAGGTATCACATGCCAACATTTTTTCTCCATCATCATCCTTAGCACCACAAGTGCAATCAACCTTCCACTCTTCTGTTCCTCGTTCCTTTCGGAATCGGCTTAGACCATGTTTGGTAGGACATTTTCCTAGAATTCGAACACTTGAATTTGCTCCGAAAAGGAATTTCAGGGTATATAAATTGCTGATTTTACCATATCCTAGAAGTTCCTCAGCTTGAAACCTCTTGTACATTGCATATACCTCTTGAAAAGCACTAGTGACTTCATTCTTCAGATCATCAACGGTAGCTTCAATAGGCAACACAATTAGTTCTGGGGGTGGTGTTGGTTGGTCCTCTTTAGGCTGGTCAGAAAGCTCCACGTGACACCAAAGCTTAATATCTGTAGGCGATTCTGTGATCACATGATCATTTTCATAATTCTTCATAAACTGTTTACAGTCTAGGAGCGTTCTGGCTGAATCAGCAATTGTTTTCTTCATAATCTTCGGTCTGTAGCGGAACTTTTTTTCAGGCTGAATAATTATATTAAATAAGAATGTCAAATCAGATATCACTTGCTCTTCTGAAGGATAGCTTGAATTTGAGGTAAATCCATTAGTAAAAGGTCCCAATCTGTCAAGGTTGAAACAAATATTAGGTGGGTTATAAGAAGAAACATTTGACAATAAAAAAAAAGCAAATCATAACTATTACCTGAATTCAACAGCACTAGATGTTGGATTGCATCGCGAACAAACCACCATTCCATTTGCAGCTAATTTCCCTGGCAAGTGCTTAAGACTATAGTCTACCAGCTCAGGGGATCTGACTCGCATATTTATGGCCCCCTTGAGAGTTCGCCTTGTAGCCCATTTGGCCTTGTTACATGCACTTGATGCAAGCAATACCTTGATCAGAGCTTGTTGCACATCTTCAACCTCATTTCTTGTCCATGCCACTAGTATATTACTGGGGCCGGTGGATTCATGTTGTGAAGTCTTTGCACTTCTTGGGTTACGAAAGTTATGAACCAATTTCAACAAAAAGGAGAAGAGATCTTTAATTGTTAGAAGTTCTGTTTCTGCCAAAGACTGATAAAGTGAAATAACAGTCTGCACAGGGTTTCGGGGTCCTCGACCTTGGAATGAAAACGAGGACAGGGGAATGTTAGACAACGTATCAACTGCCTTCTTGTATGCTTCTTTGGTAAGACCATAGCAGCCAGTTCCAAATTCATAACCCCAATTGCCATACCACGAATGGCCATTGGTGATTGCATGAAGCAAACGATAATCCAGACCAAATTTCTTGGACAAGTCCATCACACTAACCTTCCTAAAAAATTATTGAGCCCAATTCATTACAAATGAAAACAACACTCAAACATAAATAAAGCAAAATATAAGTTGAAGGACTCAAATTTCAAACCTAACAGAAATTGCGGCGCAGAGCCTATCCCAAAAACCTATTAAATTAGAGCCTGACAGAAGCATCGAGCCACCTTCTCTTCCATTAAGAGTAAGCAAGTGGCCATAACCATTGGAATGCACAACTCCATGCAGAAGATGTGTGTTATCTTCAATTTGAAGATACACCCAATCCTCCACATCATCAACACAGATGTCAAGATTACATGTCTTACACCTGCAAAGATGTCAAATTACAGTTTCAATTCTTCTAGGTTTCATTCAAATCAAGAGACTGAAGATTAGGACAATAAAAACTTGTACTTGTTACCTTGCTTCAGATAATTGGAGAAGATCTCCACATTTTGAACAAGGTCTTTGGTATGCTTCGACAGCATCACTACCTGACCTTATTATGAAGTGAAATCGCTTTCGACATACAGGATGACCACTCCATCCTTCGTTTTTATCCAACAAAAAATTTCATAAGTATCAGAGTTAAACTTTACCCCTAATTCATATCCACCAACCACTCACATGATCCCACACCAACATGATGATAATGATAATAACAATACTAATATAATAAAGTTCATTAAAAAATATTTCTACTGTCAAGGATCTTATCTTTAGCTTAGGTGTAATGATAACATAATACAGACTTTTATCTTTACCTTTTTGTAATAAATATTAATAATAATAAAAAAAATAATAATAAAATATATTTAAAAGCCGAAAAAACATATATCCGGTGGAGCCCAGTGGGTAGACTAATATAATAATACAAAATATAAAAAAATTAATAAAAACTAAATGTGAGACATTGTAAATTTCAGATTCTGACTCGACTGTTCGACTCACCAACAACTCGGCACTGGTCGCAATAAACAGTACTACGAGAACAAGTAACGTCTTCTTCAACAATGTCAAGAGTAACTATATCAGACGAAAGATCAGAGCCATCAACAACTTCCCCTACACGAAACAAGATCTGCCACGTCATCAGAAATGGAAAAAGAGAGGGAGGAAAAGCGACACGAGCGTGATCAGAAAGAAAACGATGAACACGGTAACGAAAAGGCACAGCGTCGGAGAAGTCGCCGGCGGAAGGGAAAGAAAAAAAATCATAAAGATCGGCGGTGACTCTTGTTTTCATCCTCTTTGTTGGCCTCTCGTTGAAAACCATGGTAGGGATGACAAGTTAAAGGAATAAAACGACGACGCTTAATAGATAGATAGGTTTGGAGAAAAGAACGAGAGATCTAAGAAATGGGGGAGTGAGTGAGTGTGTATAAAGGCAGTTGAGGATGTAATGGTCGATGTAGTGGCGGCGGTGGGTGGAGAGTAAGAACGAGGGTAGTGACTAGGGTTTGAGTGTTTTTGTTTTGTATATATCTGGTTTTTTTGTAATTTCATATAAAACCCTTTCTTACATCCTAGTGCCGGTTCTCTTTCTCTTTCTCAATCTTTCGCAACCGCCCTTTCATTTTCTTACATTATTATTATTTAATTAAATGGAAAGTTTAACAAAATAGTCTTAAAATACTATTTACTTAAAACCAAAATGGATAACTATTCAAAGTGTTTGGCTGTTATATATTTATGTTTTTATTTTTTACTTTAAAAGTTTTTTATTTGTATTTTTAAAATAATTTTTTAATATAATTAATAATAATTAAATGGAAAGTTTAACAAAATAGTCTTCAAATATTATTTACTTAAAACCAAAATAGAGAACTATTCAAAGTGTTTGACTGTTATTTATTTATTTATTTAGTTATTTGACTTGTATTTTAAAAATAATTTGTTTAGTATAATTAAACAGTTTTTTAAAAACTTAGGCATGAATTTTTCAATAATAATAATATTATTTAATTAATAAATTTTATTAATATTAATTAAAAAATGTATAAAAAATGAATGTTTCTGTCATTTTTTAAATAAACTACTAATTAAAAAATTAATTTTACTCTTTTATGAAATTTTTTAAATTAAAATTGATATAAAATATATTTACAGTCCAGCTTATTTGAATCACTTCAAATATAATATTTTTCATTTTTTATATAATAGTGATAAGTACAAAAATATTTAATAACAATAATAATTTATAAAAATATTTAAAAATAATAGTTTTATAAAATATTATACTCTATTTCTTTATAAATTATCTAGTCTTAGTCCTCATTATTGCATAATGGTAACTCTAAAGTTAATTATAAATATTTAAAATTTATTGAAAATTCAATTCTTTTTTTAAATAGTTAAATTTATTATTATTTTTATAATAATTAAACGGAAAGTGTTAACAAAATATTTTTAAAATGGTATTTATTTAAAATCAAAATAATGACTTTTCAAAGTGATTGACTATTCTGTATTTATTTATTATTACTTTAAAAGTATTGAACTTGCATTTTTAAAATATATATTTTTGATATAATTAAACAATTTTTAAAAAACTTAGCATGACTTTATCAATAATAGTAATAATAATAATAATAATAATAATAATAATAATAATAATAATAATATAATAATAATAATAATAATAATAAAATATTATTATTATTATTATTATTATTAAATTAATAAATTTTATAAAAAATATAAATTTAATAATTTATTATTATAAAATTGTATAAAAATTGAATGATTCTTTTTTAATTCTAACCTTTTATTAAATTCTTTAAACTAAAATTTTATTAAAATATCTTTATAGTCCAAATTATTTGCATCACTTCAAATATAATATTTTTCCTTTTATATTTATAATATTGTTAAGTACAAAATATTGAATAATTAATAATTTTTAAAAATATTATATTCTCTTTTATTTATAAGTTTTCTCTACCTTAGTCATCATTATTGCGTAATAGTAATTCTAATGTTTAAATATAATTTATGATTAACTTTCTTCAAACATTTTATTTCATAAAATTCAATGTTTTCAAATATTGAAACATATTATAAAAATTCAACTACATATAAATTGAATATTTTTATATCTTATTTTAAGGGTTATTTAGTTATGTATTATTAGTGTTTTAGGTCGATTAAGGCAATCAAAGAATTCTCACATTTGATTCAAATTTGAAACACCTCACTTAACTTTCATATAAATTATCTTAGATGAAGGAAAAAGTATAATTTAAATTCTTACATATACATTACTCATTATTTTTTTCACTAATTTGAATGGTAGTGTTAATTTTGCAATAGTATTTTAAAACTCGATTTAGATCGGTCGATCAAATCGGTTGGACCGAGAACTATAGGATATAGGATTTTAGTTAGAGCATAAAATTGTAGTTGTAATTCGCTCGATGAAAATCGATGTGATTGATCGGTTCACTGGTTAGACTAGTGAATCAATTAATTTTTAGAACATGTGAATTGGTATTTTTTTTCATCAAAATGACATATTATTGGGTGGGAGTAAAAAATTCTTAAAAATTTTAAAAAATAATAATAATTCATCTCTCTTATATTTAGAAAATCTTTCAAAACTTATTGTATTTTATTGTTATAATTTATTTGAGTTTGTAGTCTTATTCACTGTGTTTAGAACTTATTTTATTGTGTTAATATCTATTTCTCCCTATGTCCTTTGGATCATTTTTGAAAGATAAAAAAAAGTTTGGGTTACAACAACAACATTGTTGGTTGGATTCTTCTGACAAATCGTTCATATTTTGGCTGACAACTGCAGGTTCGTCTTCTAGTGCGACAAATGTAACACTCTAAACTCCGAAACTTATATAAAAATATTATTCGACTATTTAAGTTGTCACCAACGACCATTATCCGAAACTCATCAAAAACATGTGACAACACGCTGCGGAAAAATCATTTCATAACAATTTCACTTTAAACTTCCTAAATAAGGTATCAAACTTTTAAACACCAAAATCAATATTAACTCAAAAGCATAACAAACACCGTGTTTCTGATGTTACAAGATCAGAGCACTAAAACCACTAATGTGCTAAAAAAGCGATAAATAAAATGAAGAGTAGCTTCAACAAGCCACCTTCCACACATAATAACAAATTTACTCCTGAGTATTTGCAAGATGTCCATGGTGGACAACATTAAGAAAAAGGAGTGAGAAACAACTTCAATATGAAGAGCGTATAAAATGCAAAGGTAAAGAAATACATAACATATCATACATCCAATGCACAATCAACATCACCATAATCTCACATCCACTCACAACAATATACAAATATATATGTAATGTGACTCACAATACAACGTGACACTTATGCATGTGGTATCAACTCAACATTTGGTTCTCTCTGGAACCGGGTCCCCCCTTCTGAATCCATGAGCCCCTCCCCCCCCCCCCCCCCCCTTTGAGCTTTGGATAAGCATTAGTCCCCCCCTTTCTGAACTAGCAAACATGCATCTTTCAACGACACGACCACAATGATGCATGTCCATACAAATCAATACACAACAATAATAATGTTTACTACCCCTCTTCTTACCATAAACAACATGCATTGACATAGAATAATAATCCTCTCTTCTGAATTACTATCCACCAATAACAACAACAGTGCACACCAACAATACATAATTAATCACCATATAATCGTACATTTCATAATAAGATGAATCATATTCACACCATATAACATCACCAAACAGTAGCACCATATCAAATGCATATTCACACAACATTCAATCATGTTAAATCATCTTAACATCAATTCATCATTAGCTCATTCAATTGCATCGATTAATCATTTGTTCGTTATTGCTAATTATTGTCTAACCAGTAAAATTACTAGTTTTCATAATTTCTAGTACATATCTAGCTTCTTAATTCATCACTATGGGATAGTCATACACGTTAGATTTCTAACACTTCAAACCACACCCCATTTGAACTTACGAAATTAAAGTTACGACAAAACTTGTCGGGTAATAAAAAATGGTTCAGTTTAGAAAAATTTTAAAAATAGGCTAGCATCAATAGATTGACACTAAATCCATTTACACACTGCCTTTCTAATTTTTCACTTTTAGGGTGCATGCAATCGATTAATTCCCAACATTAATCGATTGTCATAGTGAAAATTCTAATATTTTTCTAAAACAACACGCGTGCAATCGATTGACACAAGCCCAGCATGTAAAAGTTCTCAATTTTCTCACATGAACTTGATCTTATTCATCCATTATCACACATACATCATCATAATCCTCATTATAACATTCAAACACACCTTAACATGAATTGAACAACCTATAATAATACCATCACAATCAAACATGTTATAGCAAACATATCAAGTCGTGGATCATAGCAATTTGACATACAATTCATTCATCACTTTCATCAAATTCATACTCTTGTTCAAACCTTCTAATTTTCCAACAATCGCAGAAATTTACATACTTGTAAATAGAAGAATGCAACACGAATTTAGTCACAAACAATCATATAATAACATAATCAATAATCAACTTTTCAGGTTATCTCACAACAACAACAAATCAAACAGAATTTACACAATCCTAATGAGAGTAAAGGTCTTTCTTCTCTACCCTTTTATACCAAACACCCATATCAAAACCCTTCCCCTACCTTAGATTCCTTGCAAAATTCTGAATTGATCAAGGTTTGTGATTTGTGTTCTTCCTTCCTCGAGCCCTAGCCTTATTATTGCTCCTTCTCACAAAAATTATGATTTCACGTATTGACTGCTCTAGATTACTCTAACCTCTTTTTATTCTAAAAATCTAATTATTTCAATTTCTTAATAGTTATATTTTCCTCCCTTCGTATTATTCCTTCTCTCTCCTTATTCCCTTTATTTTTCTTTTTGTCAATTCAGCCCCCCAATCCACTAATTCTCATTATTTTCTTATTTAATTAATTAATTAAAAATAATATCAATTCTAATTATTTTAATTATTCTAACTCTTCTACTACCCCGCCAATGTTATCACTACCCCCCCCCCCCAACAATGCCCCTCATACACATACAACTCACTATACATATTTAATTAAAAACTTACCAACTAATAATTAATTAAATAAAATAAGAATAATTTGATTAAATAAATTAATCAAATTTTGGGGTGTTACAACTCTCACTCACTTATAGAATTTTCGCCCTCGAAAATTACCTGAAGGAAACAAAGTCGGATAGGACTTCCTCATATGAC